CCCATCAAAAAGCATTATCTTCAATTCTTCATTTACATCTGGAGAAACACCAAGCAAGCTGTGATAGGTCAGCTGAGACGTGATGTGTAGCCAAGTGAGTTTCTGATAGGACACCCTTCCCAAATGCTTTGCTGGCATGGAGGGAAAGCAATCTGGAAACAGGAGATACAATATAAAGGAGCCCAAGGGCTGGGTAGACAGCTCAGTAACATAAATGTCTGACTGGAATGCACAAGGTCCTGAGTTTGATCCCCAGTACCACACACACAATATATATATATAAAGGAGCTAGCCATTAATTTAGTAGAGAGGGTGACACTTCTCATTAGTCTGCTCTCATTTTGCAGGGTATTTCTTTTTCAACCTGAATAAATGTAAATCCTTGCTACTTTTTTTTCCCCATGAGCATTGTCCAGTTCTTTGCTTAGGATACCAAGAACATGGAAAAAATTGCTTTGGGACCTTATAGCAAGTATTAGCCATTCAAAAAATAAAAATAGAAGCCATATCTTCTTCCATTAGAATTTTTTTGTATATCTCATTAATGTAGCAAAATTATATATTAAAGATGCTCAAATCCACAATTGTGGAAAATTTAAAAACAGTTCTTAGGCATGGTGACTCATACCAGCACCTGTAATCCCAGCACTCCAGGAGTTTTAGAAGGATGGCAAGTTTGAACCCAGCCTAGGCAACTTAGTGAAACAGCAAGACCCTGTTTCTGTGGGGATCGTGCGAGAGGCTGGAAATGGAGAAATGCAACTCAGTGGGAGTCCTGGTTTTTGTAATTAATACACACATGCATGTGCCTGTGGTTCTTAGTGACTTCACATGCTAGTAAATATTTATAAAATGGAAGATTTGATATTTACATAGAACAGTTATACTTAAATTATTAATGTTCTGAAAGTTGTACCTAAAAAATAAGGGCCAGGGTGATGGCTCAGTAGAATAAGTGCTTCCCTGGCAAGCACAAGGGCCTGAGTTCAATCCCCAGTTCTGCAAAAAGATCAAAAATTAGAAGAAAATAAAGATAATGGAACCAAATAAAATCAAGATCAAAACAGATCAAGGGCTGGCCAAACAGCTCAACGGATTAAAGAGCCTGCCAGCAGGTGCAGGGCCCAGGGGTTCGGCCTGTTGTGTCAGCCCCACCCCCAGGACGTGCTGAGGTGGCAAGTGAGACTGGGCATGATGGCACGCGCCTGTAATCCCAGCTCTTGAGAGGCTGTAAACAGGCGGATCATTACGAGTCCAATCTAGTAATGAGACCCTGAACACCCTATAGACCCTTCCCTAAAATAATAATAAAAAAAGTGGATCAGCAAAGCTGAGAATTGGTTCTTTTCCAATCAACAGAAAGATAAAGTAAACAAACCAAAAGAACTTTTAGGAAGACTGTTATCAAAAAGGAGGGAGAGAGGAATGGGGAAGTGAAAACAGGGCAGTGCAAAACCTGAAAAACTCATAGCGATTCTCCTGTCTCAGTGTCCCCAACGCTGTAATTACAGGCCTGCACCAGCATGGTGTGTCCAGGGTTTCAGGGCCAGCATGACGTGGTACCGGGGATCAAACCTGGGTCCTTGCACTTGCTAGGCAGGGATTTAGGCCACCGAGCTATCCCCCTAGCACTTGTTCAGACAGGATCTTACCACGTGGTTCAGGCTGGCCTCAAACTGTGCAGTCCACAGTGCCCTCCAGCTTCACATCAGTCCTCCTACCTCAGCCTCCTGAGCACCGGGATCACAGGCGTGTGCCATCACACCCAATTAAAATTTGAAAATTTCAACAATATTTTCTTATAAAAGTTATACAAAAACCAAATTCGGAAAATTTTAAGTCTCAAAACTTAAATTGATTTACTAGTTAAGTATGTATATTATAAATAACATCCAAGTGCATTACTTTTTAGAAAATGAATACATCCTGAAAAGATAGGTTTGCCTTGAAATATTAAGTTTTTATAATGTGTTACTGTAGTTCATAACTTGAAAACACGTGATGCATTTAACATTTCGATTCATGCCTGTTAAACAATTCTTAAGACCTTACCAGTGTCCCCATTAAAGTTGGAAACGTCATTAGAATCCTTTCATTAAGGGCGGGTGAGATAACTCAGTGTACTAAGCATCTGCTTAGAAAAGCACACATCACATGCCACGTCGGCCCTGCTCCCAGCAGGGCCGCAGAGCTGGCCACCAAGTCCGGGCATGATCGTGCACATCTGTAATCCCAGCGCTGGGGAGGTGGAAACAAGATGATCACTACAAGTCTGAGCTGTGTAGTGAGACCCTGTACCAAATACATAAAAATAAAATCCTTTCACTAAACTCAATATTTTATAGGTATTGTTATAAACCCATATAACCATGTGCACGCGTACACATTTACACACAAACTTTTCATAATTAGCTTTTTTCACAACAGCCCTTGAAAAATTCACACTAGTTTTGCTTTGTTTTGAGACAGGGTCTCACTATGCAGCTCAGGCTGCCTTGAGCTCACTTCTCGAATTCGCACAGATCTTTCTGCCTCAGCCTCCCGAGCGCTGGGATTACAGCCATGTGCCAGCAGGCCTGGTTTATACCACTTTTGAACAGCCCCAAAACAGCATAAATAAATATGGTAAAGAAAAGCCAGGCTTACATGTTAGTATTTTCAGGCGCAGATGTGCTCCTCCTTACTTTTCACATTGATTTCCATTTGGACAGTATCACAAGGAACAGATATGAACTGCAATACTCGTTCGAATGAACTCAAAGTTTTGTCTGCTGAGGTTGCTGCCTCTTTCCAGAAGATTCTAAGGTTCTGGTTTGTCACGCTCAAGCGCTGCTCAGTGAAGAACCCAGGTGGGACTGGGATTGGGTCCCAGAGCTCCCATGTGTCACTCTTGTCCTAACATCAACGTTTTGTGCTGTGTCTTCTTTTGTTTGGTTGATTGGTTGGTTTTTTGTTAAGGGCGGTTTGTGGTAGATAAGAACAGCACTTCGCCCCAAGAATGAGTCCCTTTACTTCGGGATTGGATGATGACGCCTCTCACCTCCACCAGCCCCAAGTATCTATCTCTTCCCTTCTGACATGTGCGGAAAAGAAAATCTCTTTTTTATTTAACGTTACATATAAACTATTTTAACCAAACGCTGACTGTACTTTTTCTATTAATGATTTTGTTTGAAAATGGCGCAGGTATCCTGGATTGGAATACGTCACGATTGCCCTGGCGAGAACTGGGGAAATATATTTTTCCCAGCACGTAACGTAACGTCTTTCACGGAGACGCTAGGCTGGAGACGTTGCCTGCTCGGGTCAGTAGTTCAGCTTGAAGCCCGGGTGGACTGCCCCAGAAACGACTTTCCGACGGAGGGCGGCCTGCGGGAAGCGCCAGCCAATCACAACCCGCAGCGGCTAGGGGTTCGTGGACCCGACGGGACTCCGTCCCCGTGTCCCGCCCCGCAGGGGCAGCTGGGGCTGTGGGCGGCGTGATTCGCCGGCCAACCGGTAGGAGGCGCCCTCAACCAGTTGGTGCTCACTGCGCAGCACCGACAGCTTCTCTGCTCGCCATCTCCTCACCGTCTTCTCACCGCCTCGCTTCACGCCGCGGCTGACCACGAAACGCGCCATGGCCGAAGCCGACCGCCCTGGGAAGCTCTTCATTGGGGGCCTGAGCCCCGAAACCGACGAGAAGGGGCTCGAGACCACGTTCGGCAAGTATGGCCGCATCATCGAGGTGCTCCTCATGAAGGACCGCGAGACCGCCAAGTCCAGAGGCTTCGCGTTCGTCACCTTCGAGAGCCCGGCGGACGCCAAGGCCGCCGTCCGCGACCTGAACGGCAAGTCCCTGGATGGTAAGGCCATCAAAGTGGCCCAGGCCACCAAGCCCGCCTTCGAGAGCGGCCGGCGCGGCCCGCTGCCACCCCGCAGCCGCGGGCGCTCGAGGGCCCTGCGCGGCGGCG